CTGCCAGCGCTGAATGCTTACACGTTCACTGATTCGCTGTCCTCCTGCAGATTGGTGTTGGACATATGGGTTAATGGGTTAATGTTGGACTTGTGGGCTTGGGCAATACTGAGTTGGGATGTTTTCTTGATGTGCACTTAACCTTTCTATTAAACTCTCTTATATATGAGTTTCTGTGGATTTGTTTCTCTAAAGTACCCAGACTAACACATAACCTAAAGTCCCCTGCTTTAGTTTTATATTTTATGATATTTGCAGTTTTGAAAAAATATATCATGTACCTGCTATTTCCTCATAATTCAGGTGAGCATCATGTATACTTCTCATTGACATCAATGGTTGCATTTTCACCTGTTGTTATTGATAAGATTGTACACTTGTCCAAGTTGGTTTTTTCCACCATTGTTCTCCTTTATAAAGTTTCTTTCATTCTTTATAATTAGTAAATAATTTGGGTGGTAAACTTTGAGACCACTGAAATATTATTTTCCACAATGAAATTTCACCCAGATTTTTGTTTATCCAATGATACTTTCACTATAATTTTAATCTATTGGGACAAATTTCTTTCTGATCAGATTGTCTATCCTCTTTCACTGTTTCCTCACATTTTCCATGCAAGGTAATCAGTGAGGGGAAGGGTACTAAGACCATTAGTAGGAGGTCTCTGAATTAGTCTACCTAAGTGGGTAAACCTTTTCTGACTCTTTATCAGAGTGCTATCATACAATATCTTTCTTTCTACAATTGGTTTCCTTAACACGGTAATATTCTCTATGTTCGGCCATTCTGTGGAGTGTTTCTTAGATTTATCATTTTTTAAATGTTGTATACTGTGTATGTACCATAGTTTATTCAGTCAATCATTTGTTGATAAACATTCAAGTTATTTCCATATTTTTGCTATCATGATTAATGCTGTGATGAGCATAAATGTACCTATATTTATTTATGTCACTTTGCTTATTTCTCTAGAATGTGTATCTAGTAGTGGGGTTGTTGGATCATATATTATCTCCATTTCTAATCATTTACAGAGATGCTGTTCCATTTTCCATTGTGGTTTTAATATTTTACAATATTTCTTTCTTTTTTTAATCGTTGCTATATTTCTTAGGATGAACAGATAGCTCATTTTTGTGTTTATTTTCATCTCGCTGGTGGTGCTATGGATTAGGTTGGGCTGCTAATCACAAGGTCAATAGTTCAAGCCCACCAGTTACCCCAAGGAAAAGCATGAGGCTGTCTACTCATGTAAAGATGTACAATCTTGTTTGCTATGCATTGAATCAACTCAGTGGCAATGGTTTTCCTTAATAGAGAATAATCATGACCATCTCTTTGTAGATTGGCTGGCCAACGGAATGTCTTCTTTGGTGAAGTGTTTATTAATGTTCTTTGCCCACTTTTAAATTGATTTGTTTGTCTTTTTATTGTTGAGGTATTGAAGTTTTCTAAACATTTTAGGCATTAGACATGACATTGTCAACATTCCCCCCTAATCTGTATTTTCCCTTTTTACTTCTTTGGAGAAATTTTTAGATGGTTTCAGTGTTTAATTTTTAGGAGATTTAATTATCTAGTTTATCTTCTGTTGTTTGACTATCTTTAGTCAAACATTTGACTATTTTAGTGATGTCTAGTAAAATATATTTCACTTTCTTTTTTTTAATCATTTTATTGGGAGTTAATACAGATATATCATTCGACCACATCAAAAAGTATTGGACAATTGCTATTACAATCAGTTTCAAAACATTCTTTTCCTGGCATAAATCTGAACAGTTAAAATATTGTCAGATATCCCTATGATGCAGGCTGGAACTGATCTGGTTTCCAAATTTTTCTGTATTTTTGGTTTGTGTTAGTTGGTTGGTTTTGTTCATTCACAGTAAAGTGTATCTCATTGTTATGTCAATGAAGGTTGCACTCTTTAAACTGTGTTATATACTTTTCCCTTTTTTGTTATATGAAACCCAGGATTGATGACCCTATAGGGACGGCAAGTAAAGTAAGGGGTTGGGGGTGTACAATGGTAGTGTGTGGAGGGCAAAAGGAAGATAATGTCATGCATGGAGTCTATGTAGAAAAAAGTGGTTGAAGAAACTGATTGTGGTATAAATTGTACAATTCTACTTGACATGATTGAATATGGAATTATATGTTATATATATTAACTCCCTCCCAAAAAAGAAGGAACAGGATGCAAAATGGGGTTCTGCAGCTATTTGAATCCCATATTAAAATGTTTCCCTATATTTTTACTTAAAAAATTCTTTTCCTTCTTGAACTCCTTGACAATCAGCTCCTTTTACCCACTGCCTCACTACCACTGTACCACCTAGAAACCCTTATTCTGTGTGCTGCCTCTATGGGTTCATTAATCCTGGGCTTCATATACTGAAAAATAGACAAACATAGAACAAAAACTAAAGAGGGTCTCCCCCAACGGCAAAACACATCTGAGATAAACCCCAATATGAACAAACAAAAACCAAAAAGTAAAATGTTGAAAACAAGAGATCAGTCCTAACATGCATCAGAGGGGGACCAACTGA